GAATTCTGCTGACGAAATCGTAATGAATACAGAAATTTGAGGAAGTAGATATCTTTTGGTGGAATTCTAGAGCATACGCCTCATAATCTCAGCCAGTCAGTCAGTAAGTTACAACGTAGAACTTCGTACGTGCATACACCAGTTCGAGTTTCCATACCTCATTAGCACAGAGATGCAATTGTCGATTCAAATCCAATGGTAGTAGAGTTGGTAAAGGTATTAGAAGTCATCGAAAAGGTTAGGATTAGAAGATATTATTCAAGAAGTATGATCCCATCGCTGCATGATATATCTGGCTTTCCATGAATAAAGATGTACCTATGTGGGTAAAGCAATGCTTACAATCTCAACGATCAAAAGTGCACAGGCAGTAGAAGTATTAGGCATAATCAAAAAGAAGAATAATCGAATATATCATTCGAGATGTATACCCCAGATGAATCGATTTTAAAAAAGTGGGAAAAAGATGTCATAAGGGATTCAGAAGTTTAGGATTTGAGAGAACAAAAAGCATGGATGAACCTGTACCATTTCAAACGGTTTTGAACCATATCATTCAAGGTCTCTAACCATCGATTACTATCATCTCGCGAACCCCAACCAGGTAGTCGACACTTACCAACATGACTCACTCCAGTTGTCAGTGACTTCATGAATTTATGCCATGTATTGGTTTGGCCACTCCTAGCTTTCTTCTAACCTGTTCGTACACCACAAAACATAGCACGTCGAGGCAGTTGGTGGACGGGCATTCGTAACACATATCCCAACCACCTCAACTGATAGAGTTTCAATATTTTATCTATTGATTTGTTATCCCTACCTAGCACCCGCTTCCTAACAACAGCATTGCTTACTCGGGTGTCCCACGATATACGAGCAATGCTTCTTAAACATCTATGATCGAATACTAGTAACCTAAGAACATCTTCTACTCTGAATGGCCATGTTTCGCAGCCATAAGGTAGGAAGGAGCGAACTACTACTCAGTATACACGTCCATTGGTTAATAGACGGATATCTCGCCTACGCCATAAATGACGTAAGTTGGCAAAAGTCAGTCGAGCTTTCTTTATCCATGCTAAGTTTTCGTCACACACCAGGACAACAGCACTGATGAGACTCCCCAGATAAATGAGGCGGTCTATATGCTCATCTGCTTCACTCCCTATCACTAGTTCAGGTGCCGATGCAACCCAATCCTGAAGCAACATTTCGCATTTCTACGGGGAGAATCGCATCCCGAACATGCTTGCATTCTTACCTAAGGTGTTCTAAGTCAGAAAGATTAGCATTGATTTATTCAGGCTCTAGATAAATTTTTCTGATAAGTGCCAATCTCTCTCTCTCTCTCTCTCTCTCTCTATATATATATATATATATATATATATATATATATATATATATATTTAATTTCATGAGTCGAATAATTCAATGAAAGATAATAACGAGATCTGAAAGTTACATGTTCCAGCCCGTCTACATGGATGTGCACTAATCTGAGGATTTCCAAACCAATATGAAACAGCTCTATTGTAATTTAAGACTTTTAATAGTTATTTAGCAGGTAACCAGTCAGGACAACATTGATTTTTAGGTCTTTCGATCAGTATACTTTTCAACAAAATGAACGACTGTGCAATACGCAATACAAATTAAATAACTAAATATGTTGTTCAGAAGAACGGTGAAAGCTCCACAACCAAAACATTCAGCTCAGAAAAACAAAACTCTGCAACAATCATCATCCACCTGAGCTACAAATTTTCTTCACCATCTCATAACTAAATATATCATGAGCCTGAGATGGTGGAGAAGATTTCTAGCTCAGGTGGATGATTGTAGTGGTGGTGTTTAGTTCTCTGTGCTGGGTGTTTTGGTTGTGGTGCTTTCATTGTTCTTCTGAACAACATCATCAGCACAAACTTCAGCCTATATCAACCAATCGAAACAAACCCAATAAAAACGTTGGACAACCAAATCTCTAGGACTCTAAACAGGCTTGTCAAAGCAGGACAAAGCATTTCGGAAACCAGCCCACACAGAAGTGATTCTCAATTACGACAGCAACAACCCAAGAACCCACAAAATCAACTGCATACAAACTTTGTTCAAGAGAGCGAAGACACACTGCAGCACATACGAAGCACTAAAAAACGAGGAAAAACACCTTGTGACTATCTTCCAAAAGAACGGCTACCCACGCCACTTCATCAAAAAACATCAACCGAAACCATCATCAGAAGCGAAATCAAGCACAGGAACCAATAAACGGATCATCCTACCATACATCAAAGACATATCGGAGCATACAGCACGACTACTGAAACCATTTGGAATAGGTGTGGCACACAGACTAACAGAATCACTTCAATTAATCCTATGTAGACCAAAGGACAAAATGACAAAGGAAGAAAAACCAAATATCATCTACAAAGTAAATTGCTCAGACTGCGGAAAACACTACAAAGGACAAAGTGGACGGCCTCTTCAGCTTCGTTTACATGAACACCAATTAGCAGTCAAACGTCAGGACATTTCTTCACTTGTATCAATACATACCGACAATTATGGACACACATTCGATTGGAACAATGTGGAAATACTGGGTAGGGGGAGGACAAAGAACACTAGAGAATTTTTAGAAGCTTGGCACTCAGGTCAATCAGCAATCAACAAACACATCGACATGGACCCAATTTATCAACCAATCAGGAAAATCATAGGTGACATAGGATCAAGAAACAGATCAAAAGGGGGATGCAATCAAAACAAAGTTGCAAACAACGACAGGTTTAAGATCAACAGCAACCAATCAAGATCGAGGTTAGCAGAACAAGCTACAGGTCAAACGTGGGGAAATTCGAATACTTCACTTTCATCTGAAGTTTGTGCTGATGATGTTGTTGTTCAGAAGAACAATGAAAGCTCCACAACCAAAACACCCAGCTCAGAGAACCAAACACCACCACCACAATATCATGAGGCTTTTTTTCATCATATCCTACACGATGATGATGATGATAATAATAATACAGTTATTCATTAATTGTAATATAAGTTAAGTTCAGTAAGATGATAATCGTTTTTTGACTGTTTCATTCGAATTTATCACTTTCGAAAATGGCAAACTTTATGATAATTTGGTCACTGCGTTATATGTTCAATATCTAGTAGGTATTTTCAATTTAATTAAAGATATTAATACATAACTGCGTATATAGAAAAAATCCCACTGCTTGACAATACACTCACTTTTGTAGTTTAACACCTATCCGCTACAAAAGAAACTTGGTTAGATGTCTCACTAGCAGAGCGAAAATGATCTGTTCAGTGGATACTTTAAGTCAGAAGCTGCAATTTATCAACAACTCACTGACTGAGATCAGCTACCCCAGCGCATTCATAAGGAAGTATATGGTTGATGTAAAAAAGAAGTCAGTAATTTCGATCGCCCGAAATAAGCCATTATTGATTAAATTACAATTCAACGGAGATGTGGCCTGCGATACTCTGCAGGACAGATTATTGAGAGCAATTAATAGAACATTCAGTTCAGCCAAACTTGTATTGACCTTTTCAAGTCGACCAGGGATGTCTACCCAAACGAAGGATAAGTTACCTGAGTTGGCTTCCTTTATGTGCATTTCAAATTCAGCTGCTCCTATGGAGATAGCTATATCGGGCGTACTACCAGGCAACTTAACCAACGAATGAGTGAACATCTCCCAGAATGGTTTAAGAAGGGTCAGTCTAGAATAATACGCAGTTCGATCTTAGCACACCTGGTTGATAGTGGTCATATTGTAGATAAGTCTAGATCTTTTCGGGTGATCTATCGTTTACCTCAATCATTTTTCAACGGAGTTCGATCCCGTCTCCTACACATAGCAGAAGCCATAGAAATTGATACATTCAACCCCAATTTATGTGTTCAGAAGAAATTCGTGACACCCCTATCTCTTCCGTGGTCGGAAATGACGTAACTAACGATTGACATTATATTGTTTATCTTATTTTAATTTTTTTTATTTTTACACATTTGCTTATCACGCAATGCGCATCCACGACTCCTGCACCCTGCAGGATTCGAACCCAGGAACTTCGGTATTGTGCGCGAACGCCTAACCATCGAACCACTGGGCCGTCATCCAACGGTGTTAATGTCTAACTTGATCAATTCACGGAGTTGCGCAACCTCATACACAGTCTTCGGTAGTTACTGTCTACATCCGAACAGGTTGAACTTCACTGGTCATGACTTCCCACTAGAACTCGGAGAAGATTCCTCACGAAGCTAGTCACTAGTGAGCACAGGTAATTTGCATTACAGGGTTGTGAAGATTGTTAAGTAAAACATTTTTGAAACCATGAATCGATCGAATTCTGCGAGGTGCAGGAGTCGTGGATGCGCACTGCTGATGAGTCCCATACCAGGGCGAAACGGCCGTCCAGTGCTTCAAGGTTTCTAATGGTGGTCTAACATTGATCGATTCATGGTTTCAAAAAAAAATGTGTAACTTAACAATCTTCACAACCCTGTAATGCATATTACGTAATGGATTTGATGTTTTTAATGATTATTTGAAGTCTATTCATCCACCTTTGACCTACTATTGATAAAACTTTAGTTATCACATTTTATAATTTTCTTACTACTATCAGTACACCTGTCTGTCTACTACTTTTGCCTATTATATGTAGTGACGTAATAATCTTTTTCATTTCATTGTGATTATCACTCAAATTGCCTTGATTGGTTTAACATTTTCATCATGATAAATATTCATGTATATTAGAGTAAAGCAGCCTGATGACGATCTAATAGAAAACAGTGATATTGTTCGCTTATATGCGTGTTGTTCTAAGAATCATAAACATTTATTTGCCTAGAAATTTGAATGAAACAATGCAATGATCTTATGAAATAAATTGATCATTTTTTGAGAGAAAAAAATATATAATTCGATACAACTAACTAACTAACTACTTACCAAGTTTTACGCCGATTGACAAATTCTTTGATTAATTTTTGAATTTTCTAATGTTACAAATAAAATAAAAAACAAACGGTTATTTTGCTGAATCAAACAATGTTTACTTACTTGATTGCCAACAGATTCACTTAGTACCAATGCATTATGTCCATTCTGTAAATGCAAAAACAGGAAAAAACAGAAAGTACAAAGAATAAGCATATAAGTTGAAAGCATTTGTTCAAAAGGAGTGAGTTTACTACGTACTTACTTACTTACTTACTTACTTACGCCTGTTACCTCCAATGGCGCATAGGCTGCCAACCTGTATTCTCCACCACCTATTCTGTCCTGGGTTTCCCTTTCCAGTACTTTCCAATTTTTATTCGTTCTTTTCATATCTGTGTCTATTTCTCGGTGTAACATGTTTTTTGGCCTTCCTCCTTTCCTATGACCTTGAGGGTTCCAAGTGAGTGCTTGTGTTGTGACACGGGTGCTTTTCGTAGTGTATGTCCTATCCACTTCCACCGCTTTTTCATGATTTCCTCCTCCACTGGAATCTGGTTTTTTATCTCCTGCAGTAGGTTGTTGCTGATGGTTTCTGGTCAACGGATCCTAAGTAGTTTAATTAACGACGATTGGCTAACTCCATTTGTTTGTTTTTTTAACATTCTGTATTGTAGATCATAATCATAAAACTTGATGATGTTTTAATGATTAAGAGATAATGAGTAATGTTTACTTTTACTTACTGAATTGGAACAATGCATTAACCAATATTGTTTGAGTCGAGTTAGTTTAAACAAAGTGAACATGATACAGTTTGTTTAGTGGGATGAATTTAGTGAATCTTTATGCTTTATTGAAAATCAAAATTAGTTTGATGAATATTAATATACAAAGGAGAACCGTATCTTAATGACTCACGGCTATAATCACTAATGGAGAATATGCCGGCCACTAGCATTCTCCAACATTCCCTGTCCTGGGCCTTCCTTTTAAGTTCTAACCAATCCTTATCTATTCATTTCATGTCCTTCTCCAATTCTTGGAGCAATCTATTCTTTGGTCTAACTCTTTTCTTTTAGCTTTCAGCATTCCAGGCTAGAGCTTGTCTCGTTACACAGTCGGGTGGTCGCTCTAATAAGTGTCCTATCCAACCTCACTGTTCTTTGCCACAGTACTCTGATTCTGATGGTGTGTGAACATCGGATCCAGGGTTTCTAGCGTAGACCTTTGTTAAGAAATACTTGGATCTTCTGGAAATCGAGGTTCTCCAAGTTTCCGCTAGTGCGATAGAACGGTTTTGATGATCGTATTTAAAATCCTGAGTTAGATGTTAGTTGACACTTGCTTTGAGTACAGAACGTTCGTGAACCGTAACAATGCCACTCTTGCTTTGCAAATTCATGAATTCACATCTGCATCAGATCCACCTTACTTATCAATGATGCCTATCAGATATATAAAGGTTCCAACATCTTCCAACACCTTTCCTTTGTGAATGTCAAAACTCACTGCTGCAGTGGTCGTTTTCCCTTGCGTGTCGGATAGAAGGGCTAGGTCATCTTCGAAGTCCAGATCGTCAAGAAGCATCCGAGCTGTACACTGTATTCCGTGCTTCCCTTCAGATACTGATCTCTTCATGATCCGGGCAACCAACAGGAGATAGAGAAAAGTTGATAGTAAGCAACCTTGTGTGACACCAATCTTCACTTGGCACGAATCCCCGAGCTACCCTCCATGTTTGATGTTGAAAATCTTCTGAGGCACGTCTTAGAGTCGAAGAAGCCTCCATAATGTCATCCTGTCCACGCTATCAAATGCTTTTTCGTAGGCAGGAAGTTGCCGTATAGTGGTGAGTTCCATTGAGTCAGCTGTTCCGCAGTGATCCATAGTGTCGCGATTTGGAAGGTACACCATCAATCTTTACAGAATCCAGACTGCTGACCCGCCGATCCAGATCTCGGTTTAACAACACTCTGTTGAAGACTTACTCTGGTATTGAGAGTAGAGTGGTGAATTTGTAATTCTCTCACTTGTTGAGATCATATTTCTTTGATATCTTGCTGAGGTGACCTTCTTTCTAGTCTGTTGACAAATTTTACTCCTCCCAAATCTCGCTGAGCGGAGCGTGGATCATCTTTGTAGTTACTGCTATGTCTGTTTTCAGTGTCTCAGTTAGTATATTGTCTGATCCTGTAGCTCCGCCGCTGTTCATTTGTCTGATATCCGTGATGACTTCTTCGATTGCCAATTGGTTAGAATCAATCAAGAGGTCTGTAATTGCAGCTTGAATGTTGGGTCCGTTCAGTGAAATTAGTCTTTTTAAGAGTTCTTTACAGTACTCTACCCACCTGTCTCACTGACTTTTTAAGTTGGCGAATGGTTTGTCTTGACTGGTCGTTCCAGTTTACTATACTTCCCTGCGAGCTTTTTCGCTGTATCGCATAGTTGTCTCACGTTTCCTTAACTTGCAGCTTTTTCTACTACCTTTGCTAGGTTTTCCACATATTTTTGCTTATAAGCTCTGATGCGCTTGTTTTCTTCTGTGTATTTATTATCTTCTTTGGCTTTCTCTGCTCTTGTTCGGATGATGTTGATTGTCGCCTTCCTGTTCTTACTTTCTTCAGTCTTTGACAGTGTATCAACACAAATTCATTACTACCGATGGTGCTTTGTGTGTCCCAAAACCTATTGACATGCTGAAGTTATTGCTTCCTTGACCCCTTCCCACGTGTTCTCTATAGTAGTTATTTTAGTGGCCCGGGAATCGGGTGTCGCCCATAACGATTTTGAATTGAATCTTTTTCTTCTTCATGGCCGAAGTAATACAGCCTCTCTCCTTAAGCTGGTATTTTTTGTTCAACCTGAGTTGAATGCGTTTCACTTAATTCAGGCTCTACCATGTTGGATTTTTTCATTTTTCGCAGCAAGTTGAATGGCCGTTTCCGGTCTGCCACACTTAATGGTCATTCCATGGTGCCAATATTAATTGTTGCTCTGGTTGTCAGAAAGAGCATATACCTCTTGACTTCCGAAGAGTTTCAGTTGTCTTCATGAAGTATAACTTTTTAAAATGAATATCTACTAACTTCGAGGGCAGAGTTTCAGTGGTTTCAATTACTTGTTCTGCTTAGCGTATCTTTAGCAAGTTAGTCTTCTATCGGATAGGATTGTTAATCTGATGCTCAACTCTCCTTCTTTATCCTCAGAATATACAATACATTTGCATAATAAAGATATGTCAGTTCATCGTGAAAATTACCACTGAAAAATGCACAACCTTCCTATGAAACTAAATAAATAAATGACATAATGTGTTGGTTGGCAGCCAACTACTCTAGAACAAAATGCGCGATACTTCATATAGAAGCTACGAACTGTAATCAGACAGACAGAAACAACGCAGAACTTCGTACATAAGTACATCAGTTCAGGTTGCCATATCACATCGGCACAGAGATGCAACTGTCAGTTCAAATTCAAGAGTGATAGTGATAGTAGAATTATTAACAGTAATGGAGAAGATTAGGGAGCAAAGATATGATTCGAAAAGTATAATTCAGTGAGATAAATTTAGAAGGACGAAGATAGAGATTATGAAGAATTCAGAAAGTTAGAATTAAAAAGAACACAAATGGTGGATGCACCTGCGCCATTGCAAACGATTCTGAGCCATGTTGTTCAAGGTCTCGAACCATTGGTGACTTTCGTCTCGCCGACCCCAACCAGGTAGTCTGCATCTACCAACATGACTCAGTCCACTAGTCAGTGACTTCATGTATTTTTGCCATGTTTTGGTTTGGCCGCCCCTAGCTTTCTTCCAACCTACTCCTACACCACAAAGCATAGCTTGTCGCGGCAGTTAGGGATACGTTACACATGTCCCAACCACCTGAACTGATGAAGTTTCACTACTTCATCTATTGATTTGCAATCCCTACCTAGAACTCATTTCCTAACGATAGCATTGCTCACTTGGTCGTCCCAGGATACACGAGCACTGCTTCGGATACACCTATGATCGAAGACTAGTAACCCACGGAAGTCCTCTACTCTTAAAGGCCATGTTTCGCATTCGTATAGTAGGACAGAGCGAACTGCTGCTCAGTACACTCGTCCTGTAGTATATATATATATATATATATATATATATATATATATATTCACTGGTTTTCAAATAATGTGTACTTACACTTGTCACTAAATTCATATTAGCATTATTTTCTAACAGTAATCGGCATAAATCATAATGTCCAAGTAGAATACAATTATGCAATGCAGTTTTACCATCATGATCTTGTGCATCAATATTAGCGCGTAGTTTGATCAATTCTCTGGCCACTTCAACATTTCCATTGTTTTTTAAAGCAGCTATTAAATTTTATCGAAAAAAAATAAACAGAACAAAACAAAACAAATGCAAAATCATTTCATGAAATCCAAGAAACATGTTATCATTAGTATTCGGAGATTTGTGAGCAGCACTTATTGATTAGTGCTCGGAGTTTTATTGCAAACATTTCTTCCATGTGTTTTTTGTTTGAGTTTGAAATGAACTAAATTTAACTTCGGGTTCAAAGTGTCCGGAATGAATACTAACTCTGCGATGCAAGTATATTTAGTTAGCAAGTCTTAAACAAAATGAAACGCTCGTCCTAGTTTCCATGTATGTTATTAATACTTTGAACTTGATGGCGATATCGAAGTAATCCGTACAGAATGGACTTATGTCAAAGTGACTGATCAGTTTACAGTCATATACATCAGTGTAATATCCATTTTTTGAAGGCTTTGTTTGTGATAATCCCTACATTGATTCTATCAGTTCTACATTTTGGTAATCCGTTCAACTCTATTTTGAGGTAATGATTATATTTGTATTTTATTATAGTTTCTATTTCTCTTGCCTTCACTGAGTTTCTATGTTTCAATCTGAACTGCATTTATCATGTTTAAGGCGATACTTAGCCATGGCGACAGCCATATTGATTTGTTCCTCTTTTGGTTGTGTTTCTTGCTTTAACTGGAATTATGTTTTTTGATTGTGAATTGAAGCACCCTTGCAGAATAGCAAACACTCTATGTTGTAAAGCAACCAAATATTATCTGTCAAACGAGTCTGATCTATCCAAGGGGGGGGGATAGAATATCATTTATTTGAATAATTGAACAACTGTTGGTGGAATAACTAAGTGGTAATATTTGTTTAGGTAAAGAATGATGTACATTTCTATTTATGATGAATATTCACACCATCATTTATCCAAATCACTTGTTTTGGTTTTAAACTGGGCACTAGAGCGTATCTAAACTATCTAGACAGTTATTCTTCAATTCAAACCTCAGAGTTTGGATCCTGTAATCAGTATGAAGATTGAAACAAGCAATATAAATGAATGATATAATAATCGACTGAATTTTTGAGAATTTTACTTTTCTCTATGTATCATAGCGAATTGTATACTGTTGTAATTTGTACAAAATGAATGGGATCCAGGATAAATAAGGCTGCTAATAACAGATCAGTTCTATTGTAACTCAATATATCAGCTAAAATAATACAATAACAATACCTAAACCAGGATAACAGAACCAGTTATGTGGCATAGTCCTATCAAATTAATATTAAGGCGGACCATTCAAAATAACATTGATCAGCGTCGATCGATCTCCAACGTTTGGTCCTACTAAAAGTATACAGACTGTAGATTCTTTCTTCAAGACTAATAATTTATATCACTGATTCAAAGGACAATAAAAAAAAACCACCAACATTGTTGTAAGGATATTCATCCAATATCCTAAGATAATTGTTTGTAAGTCTACTTCAGTTGGTCAATTCCTATTGGTCGTCCGAACTATCAACGTCACATACTTCAAATGTTGTTTCTTATTGGTCGTCCTAACTGTCAATGTCACAGATTTCAATGTTGTTTCCTATTCGACCTAACTGTATAAATACGCATTATCTGTAACGTTTTGTGACCCCGATCGGGACTCGGACCCGAATCCAGACACAGAACACTAGTTCGGGATCCTGGTTCTCTTCTGGACGCGGACCTCGTACTTTCTAGGTGTTTGTACAATACATGTTCTACATCACATCAAGTCTTCTTCTTTTACTCATTTGGGATTTGGGACACTCAGGTTAGAGTAGCATGTGGTGTTGCCAGATCCTCGATCCTCACTCTTCTTCTCGGACTAAGGTAAACAACTCGTAATAGTTCAAGCATATCAAATGACGTGTTTATGTGTATGCGTAACAATTGTTAAGTTTATTAAGTCAGTTTTACACAAAATGACAAATAAACGAAAATCTTGAATCAAAAGTTCAATGAAATCAATGCATAAATCAATGTTAAATTTTATAATCGATTAATATCGAATGGAAATATATCGACCATTGAAATTAAAATCAATCTATTATTTAGTAGTAGTAGTAGTAGTGTGGTGCTGTGGTGCGAACTACTTATAAGTAGTATATGACGTGAGTGTCAACGTAATGTCTGGCAGCAGAAGATGAGAGTAGATCAAGAAAAGAAGAGTTAGAAAACAATGGAATTTGTGTGAAACCCATGAATAGTGACAGTGGATTGATGTTTGGCAACAGGAACAGTCCAGTTCCATAGGATGAACTGATCTTTAGCAAATGAACGATTTACGATATGGTTTTCCGATTTTACTGAGTAACTCTGTAATTTTCGCTAAATACAATTCGGTCGCCCCACCTGTGTTCTCATTCACTACAGTAGTAGTATATTGTTTAGTTGTATAAACTTTTTTAAAGTTGAAAGAGAACACATTCGAACTATCTAGACTCTGTAGAGGAAAATGTTGGATTGATTGTCATTACACTAGTTATTAAACAAGCCAAAATTATGTACTAATCACTGACCACAACGTAATAAAGGTGTCCATCGAAGATTATTATCAACAGCTTCTAAATTAGCCGATGATTTAATCAATAATCTACAGGCTCTTGGTTGTTCTCCATCGACTGCCATATGTAAAGCCGTTAAACCATTTTTATCCGCATGATTCACATTCGCGCCATATTCAAGTAGCAGTTCCATGCATTCAATATTTCCCTAAATATTGATTAAAACAAAACAAAACATTATTTCATTATTATTATAATTATAACTATTAAATTTAATTTAAATAAGTTTGACATGAAGTAATTCGAAGCTCCTCTGATAAGTGAAAAGTAAATTTTGTTTATAAGGAAGATCTCATAGAAATGTATGATTTATTCGATTTTGTTAAATGTGATTTTTTTAAAAACACGATTAATAACAACGAATCAGAGGAAGAATATCCAAGCAAGTGTGGTGCGAGCTACTTATAAGTAGTATATGACGTGAGTGTAAACGTAATGTCTTGCAGCAGAAGATGGGGGAAGATCAAGAAAGGAAGAGTTAGAACACAATGGAATTCGTATGAAACGCATGAATAGTGACAATGGATTGATGTTTTGCAACAGGAACAGTCCAGTTCGATATGATGAACTGATATTTTGCAAATTAACGATTCACGATGTGGTTTTCGGATTTTACTGAGTAACTCTGTAATTTTCGCTAAATGCAATTCGGTCGCTCCACCTGTGTTATCCTTCACTACACAAGAACTAATAATAATAATAATAATAATATTGATTATAATGTCTATCAGCTTGTATTTGTCTATTAGTCAATTTATTTTACAAATATGATATAGTAATGAGTTTGGGTATGATAAAAAAACGAGATTGTTTATGTTGTTAGGATATTCATCAAATATCCTAAAGAAATTGTTTTGTGAGTCTAATTCTATTGGTCAATTTCTATTGGTCCATATTTAAGGTCGTCCTAAACTATCAAGTTCATATACTTTTAAACATTGTGTCCTATTGGTTGGTATTCAAGGTCGACCTAACTGTATAAATATGTATTGTCTATAAAGTTCTATGCTCTCCTCTTCTTCTTCTGTACGAAACCTCATATTTTATGGGTGCTTGTAGAATACACTTTCTACGCCATGTCAAGACTATTTGATACCGTTAGTGGCGGTTTAGGACGTTCAGATTAAAGTAGCCTGTCATGTAAATGGATCACTTGCCTTAGGTCTCGTTTACCTACTAATGTGAACTCGTAATAGTTCAAGCCTATCAACTGATGAGTAGAACAGTATATAAGTATTACCATTTGTTTTAAAGAGATTTCAAGATAGCGTGGCTGGTGTGTGCTTTATTAATTCGCAAAGTGTGTATTATCAAATCATCGCAGCAATTCTAACCAATTGTATGATATTTTTTTTCAACTTTGACACATATTCTTGAGTCTGTTCGTAGTAGGATTTAATTTTTTAACAAACGATCCATTCGATGTGGTTTGATAGTTGATGATTTCAAATGTGTAAAAACACAAAACCTCCAAAACTCTGCCCGGAAATATCGTAACAGTGCTCACTAGTGACACTAGCTTCGTGAGGAAATTCTCGGAGTTCTAGTTGAGAAGATGTGACTAATGGAGTTCAACCCTGTCGGGTGTAGGCAGTAACTACCAAAGACAAATAGGTGAGGTCGCGCAAAAATCCGTAGATCAATCAGAGTTAGACAATAAAACCATTAGATGCCGGCCCAGTGGTCCGATGGTTCGGCGATCGCGCACAATACCAAAGGTCGCGGGTTCGAATCCTGTGAGATGCAAGAGTCGTGGATGCGCACTGCCACTGATGAGCCCCATACCAGGATGAGACGGCCGTGTTTCAGTGCTTCCAGGTTTCTAATAGTGGTCTAACAATGATGGATTGATGATTTCAAATATGTTTAGAACACAAAACCTCCAAAACTCTGCCCGAAAAGAAAAAATTAAAACAAACTAACTAAGTACTAACTTTGAAAGCAGCAAACATCAGTGCAGTTTTTCCTGTACTCGTTTCAGTCTCTGTGTTTGCTTCGGCTTCAAGTAAAATCGCCATCATACTGTGAAAAACAAATGAGACAAGCATCTAATTACTAGACGGCCACTTTACTTACTGGACCTAACTGTCATATGAATTCAAAACAGTGGTTCCCTTTGATAAATATGAATGGAGAAATAAGAAGACATATTTTGTGAGATAGTACCATTTCGTGCTTTCTTGTCAGTCACATACAAGCAACATGTTATTTGTGTAAATACAGCAGTTTTGAAGATAAGGTCAAAATTTCTTATTTAGCATGATATTCACTCACTAGAACCATGGTAAACAAAGGTCAACATACAGTTGTTTTTGAACACATAAAGTTGCACTTTTCCGACCAATCAAGATAGCTTCGAGTAGTTTCAGTGTGTGTGGGTTTTGATCACATGTCACAACTCTAAAGGCTGATTTTGGGTCAATTTGATGACCACTCATCATTAGATGTTTTGCAATGGATGAGGCTGGGTTTCTTGATCGACTTTGAGATGATGGGCTAGGTTGGTGAATCATGGATTTGATAAGCCATTTTGGAATATGTTCCCCTATCCTGTCTTCCAATCGGCGATCTGTCCTCCCTAAGCAACTTTCTCCGCAGTTACATGTGAATTGGTAAATACAGTGAGATTTGGACTGAATCGGTCTCGGAGACTTGATTGGGGTAACTGATATCGATTGGGTTGTTGTGATAAGCCTCAGATTAGCTGCATTGAAGGTCTTTTTTATTGCAACTGCAGTCTGTTTGGTTGTAATTTTGATGCAATGATCACCTTTGAAAGGTAACTGTAGGTACACTGGTTTCTTGGGCACATCAGTTGCTATCAGCTTCGTTGTAGTTGTGTTCTGATGACCAATAAACGTTTCGAGATATCCGTTTGATTTAAGTGTCTCAGTGATAAGCTTGAATTCGTCGTTCAATGTATCAGCAGTGCAGATTCTACTTGCTCGAGCGAATAAAGTTTTGACAACAGAGCGTTTATATTGTATGGGGCAGAAACTAGTGGTACTATCTCACAAAATATGTCTTCTTATTTCTCTATTCAAATGTCATATGAATGTCATGAATATTTTCTAATAAATTTATTTTACTATATACATATTAGTTAATAATAACTGCAAAATATTTCGAAATATAAGTCTATTGACAAGATGGCATCGATTATTTTCACTTTCGAAAAAAAAATCATATCGATTAATGATTTAAAAGTACATAACCATAATCAATGAATTCAATAAGAACTTCAAGATCAAGTCAGTGATGTCATTGGATTTTAGACTGATTGAAGAATGAATAAAAGCTACGAGTAGTATTTAGGATTTGACAAGGTTATCTGATTATGTCCAATCATTCTTAGGTCATAATGTGTTTAAAGGTATTTTTTTTAAAAGCACTTCGCTGAATCATAGTTAAGCTATTTTATGTGCACTTGTTGTCTTGCTTTTCTATTTTGATCAGCCGTGATAATTACAAAGTTATCTCAGAGATGATCAAATTCTAAGGCTGTTGATCAGTGTACACACTGAGATTTTTTTAAAGCACTAACTACTAGTCAACAATGCAATTAAATCTATTTTTTTCAGTAAATTTGGCTGGATAATAGAGAATTGAATATGCAATATATCTGGACTACACAAAACACAATTACACTTTTCATGTGTCAGAATGTGAAGTTGATTTCTAATGCTGCTGTAAATCTACTGTGTTGCGCGCTGCTTATAAGTAGTATATGACGCGAGTAAAAACGTAATGTCTGGCAGCAGAAGATGGGGGAAGATCAAGAAAGGAAGAGTGGGAACACAATGGAATTTGTATGAAACGCATGAATAGTGGTGAAATGTCAGACAATGGATTGATGTTTTTCCAACAGGAACAGTCCAGTTCGATATGATGGATTGATATTTTGCAAATTAACGATTTACGATATGGTTTTTCTATTTTACCAATTATTTCTGTAATTGGAGATAATGCAATTCGGTTGCTCCCACCGGTGTTCTACTTCACTACACTACCAAGACAACCTAATTGTGCTTAAAGATACAGATACACCTTTCTTGTGCATTGAAATGAATTAGAAGACTACATTGAGGGTTTTACCGGAGCTTATCTTCAAGTGTTCACTATCAATAGTGATCATTACTATTTTCTAGTTGATCTCTATATAATAAAGTTACTTACTGAATACATAACTTAGACGAATACAATTGTTCAGTGTTTTCCAGTTGGTAAGATTCTTTCAACAGAAATCGATTATCGACTGTCGATAATTTTCAGCTTACACATTGTAAAATATATAAGTACTTTTGACAATGGAGAGTTATCAAACTTGTCAAAATTTCATGGTTTTTTCTATAATGGACTGGAATTTAGTTAGACACTTGTGGTTCAGCCAGTACATTCTAACAAGTATTCGGATGATCTACATATGTATGAAGTTGCGCAACTCTGTGAATTGATCAAGTTAGACATTAACACCGTTAGATACCGGCTCAGTGGTTCAGTGGTTAGGCGTTTGCGCAAAATACCGAAGGTCCTGGGTTCGAATCCTGCGGGGGTGCAGGAGTCGTGGATGCGCACTGCCGAAGAGTCCCATACTAGGAAGAAACGGCCGTCTTTCAGTGCTTCCAGGTTTCTAATGGTGGTCTAACATTGATTGATTCATGGTTTCAAAAAACAATATGTAACTTAACAATCTTCACAACCCCGTTATGTGATCTACATATATCTTCTCACCTTTTATTGATACCAAATCATTAGTTGTTATTATAAACAATGAAATATTTATGAACCTAAATTATGAATTTCTATTTCATTTAAAAAGTAACAAATAATCAAGTTCAATTAACATTTTTGTTTTATTTCGACGCAAAGTTTTATGTGTGTGTATAACGTTTTCTACAATGTGGGATAAATTTATTCCCTTCGCGCCATTTATAATTTATACTCCAAAATATTCCATCAAATTTAATTTTTTATAGACTTACTCTGGTAGATTTCGTTGAGCACAATACATAAGAGCAGTAAATCCTAAATCATCCATAGCTTCAATGGATGCTTGTCTATGAATAAAAAAATTTGAAATAGATGTCATTTAACAATAATAATCAATGTACAATTTTCTATAGAAATCTACACATTTTTGAAACCATGAATCGATCAATGTTAGACCACCATTAAAAACCTGGAAGCACTGGACGGCCGTTTCATCCTAGTATGGGACTCTTCAGCAGTGCGCATTTACGACTCCTGCAACCTGCAGGATTCGAGCCTAGGACCTTCGGTATTGTTCGCGAACACCTAACCATTGGACTACTGAGCCGGTATCTAACGGTGTTAATGTCTAACTTGATCAATTCACGGAGTTGCGCAACTTCATACACAGTCTTCGGTAGTTACTGTCTACACCCGAACAGGTTGAACTTTACTGGTCACGTCTTCCCACTAGAACTCCGAGAAGATTGCTCACGAAGCTAGTCACTAGTGAGCACAGGTAATTTGCATTACAGGGTTGTGAAGATTGTTAAGTTACACATTTTTGAAACCATGAATCGATGATCAATGTTAGACCACCATTAGAAACCTGGAAGCACTGGACGGCCGTTTCGTCCTGGTATGGGTCTCCTGGGGGGTGCAGGAGTCGTGGATGCGCACTGCGGAGGAGTCCCATACCAGGACGAAACGGCCGTCCAGTGCTTCCAGGTTTCTAATGGTGGTCTAACATTGATCGGTTCATGGTTTCAAAAATATAGAAATTTAAACAATGAATAATAAATAGGAAATCAACATTCATGATTAATTAAGGTTGGTAAAATGTGACTTGTTATGTGATTTGAAGATTGATCGTATGATCTAGGCGAACACCAATGACAACAACTAAGAAGTGTTGAATAATGAATGGCTCTGTTTGAATGAAGAGTCTCTGGAAACTGAACTTTTTGACAATTGTCTAGGTTAGAACAACACGCATATAAGCGAACAATATTACTGTTTTCGATTAGATCATCATCAGGCTGCTTTACTCTAATATACAGGAATATTTATTTTGGGGCAGAGTTTTGGAGGTTTGCGTTTTTACACATTTGAAATCATCAGTCAATCATTGTTAGACCACCATTAGAAACCTGGAAGCACTGCAAGACGGCCGTTTCGTCCTGGTATGGGACTCATCAGTGGCAGTGCGCATCCACGACCCCTGCACCTCACATGATTCGAGCCCGGGACCTTCGGCATTGTAGGCGAACGCCTTAACATTGGACCACTGAGCCATACCAGTGGTCCCATACCAGGACGAAACGGCCGTCCAGTGCTTCCAGGTTTCTAATGGTGGTCTAACAATGATTGACTGATGATTTCAAATGAATATTTATATATGAAAATGTTAAACCAATCAAGGCAGGCAATTTATGAGTCAATAATCACAATCAAATGAAATAGATTATTACGTCACTAGACATACAATAGGCAAAAGTACAAGTTGATAACATAGGAAGACAGGTGAGTATATTCATGGTCAACCAACATGCCTGCTGCACATGCACATCGCTGCGTTGATATACAGCGCAAGGATACTCACTGTTGCCGACAGTACTGACCCCTGCCCCTTTCGGGTACATACATGTTGTCCGGTTTGGTCTGCAGACACATCGGACATCCAAAAAGCACGCACACGAGCAGTGGCCCCTGCACGGGCACTTCTGAATCAAGAAATCCCACCAACCAAACCACAGCCCACAATCCCCAATCGGCGAGGGCGGCAAGGCGGGCCTATCCTTCCGGACAAGGGACCCCGTAGCAGGTTACCGAGCCACCCAAGCAGTGCACTAACCAGCAGCCATTCCAACCGTCTGGCCTGACAGGTGAGTACTGATAGTAGTAAGAAAAAAAATTGCCTTGATTGGTTAAACATGTTCATATGTTAATATTCATGTATATTAGAGTAAAGCAGTCTGATGACGATCTAATCGAAAACAGTAATATTGTTCGCTTATATGCGTGTTGTTCTAATTTTCACAATGGGAATCTTTAATAAATAATTGTCCAGGTGCCGAAAGAACGATCATTTCACACTATAAATAAACCTCAACCAACATATTGCATATCGCTATCTCTATTCAATTTCATGGATATTTTGATTGACTCTATAAGTGTCATAGATTTTTTTTTCGGCAGAAAAGTTCACTACTTCATATTGAAGCTTTAGAAGAAGTTTATAGTAGTAATCAGTTGGATAAAAATAATTTAGCCAACATTATGAATCATTTGAAGTGACTCAATGATCAATATACTGATATGATCAATGGTGGGGATGTTAGATCCCCAAAACTCGCTTGTTAAATGCCCTATTTTGCATTTCACGCTTGCCAGCATGGACTGGTCAGTTGACCTTGAGATTTCATTTCCCACCAGGAAAATTCATGGCTGTGATTGGCTGCTGTGTATTTTAGTGTGCTATTTTCTTAACTGTCACAAGGACGTTTCCATGATGTATAAATAAACCAGAGTTGTGTGCTGGGTGTTTGTAGAATATACTTTCAACGCTTACAAAGCCTTCTGTCTTCAGCTTAGGATTTAAGTTAGCCTATCTGGACGCTGGTTGATTGTCTCGTTCGCGTTTATCGGCTAAGGTGAACTCGTAATAGCTTCAAGCGTACCTAGTGAAGAAAATATCAATCAACTTTGATGATCGTTATCATTCAATAACCTACAATTCGACCAATCAAGTAGATAGATTGTGTGGGAATATTTTACATGAGAACTGTGAATACTGAGCATGTTACGCTAAAATGTTAAATTATCAATTATCAAGCAATAGAACTGGACCAATGAAAAAGCTATTTGTATGAGTAGGGAAAAAACAATTTATCGGTGGTATATTCAAAATCAAAATCAATGTCAAAAATCATCGAAAATATTTATGACTATATGACTTGCATAGATTGGGAAAGAACAATTTTTAGTGATATCCCATTGAATTGGCTTGTATTTTTTAATAGAACAGTGAGAAGACGTAATTTGATCTGAAACAAAGTGATGTATTTGCGCTATACATTTCGAACAATCTGGTCATACATATTTACTTGTCAAGGCATTTTATATGAAGATTAATAAAAGGTCAATAAAATAAAAGTCCAAATAGACATAAGGTGATAATTGTAAATGAAGGAGAGAGAAAATTAACGTAATATGAAAAGAATAAGAAAGGGTAGGAAAATGGTCACCATTTCCTCGGGCTTAAAGATTACTAGGGTAAATTCAAGGTTATGACAAATTGTTTCTGCACACATAAAGGGGGTTTTAATTTTCTAATAGCCAAGGCATCCATAAACCTCAAAATTCGTCCTTCAACGTTTTTATACAATGTTTTGAAGGCTGTCTTGATGTCAATCTTATGCCCTGTCTCAAATATGTATTTTGCTATCGATGAACCTGGTTTTCTGCTTCGCACGCTAATCGGCTTATTTGACGTTAACTGATTTTGACGATGCAAAATTCTTAACTGACGCATTAATTTCAAATGGCTATCCGCTAAAGTTAGCCATCAGGTGTAGAAATCAGTTGAGACAACAGCCAGTTTTTCATTCTGATGAGAAGAATAAGGTTTATATCACTTTACCATTTAGAGGTGAAGCAAATGGCCTAATCTTGAGACAGAGACTAAAAGCAGCCATAGAGAAAACACGCAACCCTGCTAAACTGATTATCATTGAAAAGACTAAGCCCATTATTCCATATAGAACTAAACGTTGCTCGAATGATTATATCACATCCCACTGCATTTATCAAATTACGTGCTTGTGTGGGCACACACATAGGAAGGAATAATCGAACTTTGCAATCAAGGGTTATGGAACATGAACCTAAGTGGTTTCAAAATCATTTAATGTCAGATGAGCCGATTAGCGTTGGAAATAGAAAACCATGTTCATCGATCGCCAAACACATAATTGAGACAGGGCATAAGATTGACATCCAGATAGTCTTCAAAACGTTGCATAGAAACGTTGAAGAACGATTTTTGAGGTTTATGGAAACCGTAGATTAAAACCTCCCTTATGTGTACAGAAACAATTTGTCATAACCTTGAATTTATCCTGGTACTTTCCTAGCCTTTTGTATTCTTTCCATATTATGTTAATTTTTTCTCTCTCCTTTATTTACAATTATCAACTTGTGCCTATTTCGACTATTATTTAATTGACCTTTTATTCATCTTCATATAAAATGCCTTGACAAGTATATGTGCTCGAAATGTATAGCGTAAATACATCATACTTTTTTAGATCAACTCTACGTCTTCTCACTGTTTTATCAAAATTTATGAAAAGGGACAAATTGGTTTATGTTTTTCAACTGTTTATACGTAAGGATAAATTTATCTCTTGTAATAGTTCATAAAATCAATTTGTATTTCATTAAGTTTTGAGATTATAATCTTAAAGTTTTCGAAAACAAATTTATAGATTTGTTAGTCATTGGTAAGTTATCGTCACTGTTTTTTATAAGGCATTCAACAAGTTGTCATAAGCCAATTTTTCACAAATAAATTACTATAAATTTTTTTAATCATCCAGTAATATTGAAATATTCTGTGTTAAAGTTAACAAATAATGAACTTTTTTTGAAACCATGAATCGATCAATGTTAGACCACCATTAGAAACCTAGGAACACTAAACGACAGCCGTTTCATCCTGGTATGGCACTACTTATCAGCAGTGCGCATCCACAACTCCTGCACCCCGCAGGATTCGAACCCAGGACCTTCGGTATTGCGCGCGAACGTCTAACCACTGGACCACCAAGCCGGTATCTAATGATGTTAATGTCTAACTTGATCAATTCACAGAGTTGCGCAACCTCATACAGAGTCTTCGGTAGTTACTGTCTACACCCGAACAGGTTGAACTTCACTGGTCACGACTTTCCATTAGATCTCGGAGAAGATTCCTCACTCAGCTAGTCACTAGTGAGCACAGGTAATTTGCATTACGGGGTTGTGAAGATTGGTAAGTTACACATTTTTGAAACCATGAATCGACGATCAATGTTAGACCACCATTAGAAACCCATAGGGGGACGAAACGGCCAGGTTTCTAATGGTGGTCTAACATTGATCGATTTATGGTTTCAAAAAAAATAAGTGTAACTTAACAATCTTCACAACCGCGTAATGCAAATAATGAATTGTCTGTAAATATGAATGATTTGAAAAAAAACTTACCCTTTTTCAAGTAATTCACGTAAACGTATGGAATTTTCTTGTTTCACAGCAACATGTATTTCATGACCAGTTATAGGTAGTTCTAATTAATGAAATACATTGTATAGAAATGATCAATAAAGTAAACTTACGGTCAGTTTGTACATGTACCACATCGCTCCAATTTTCAAATTGTTTCAAATTTTTAAAACGTATTCTAAAATAATACGCTGTATCAGGCTCTAAATCTTTGCATGTACATCGATAGTCGTAACCACTTGAATATACAGATATATGTGTATAAAAATAAGAATAATAAAAGAATTTCTATGAAACAAATCTTTGACAATAAATTACATGTATCCACTTTCCCAATCTTCAGAAGAATCTTTCTTGAAAATTACTTCAGCTAATGGATTGACCATATTAGTTGGTGTATTCATTTTTTCACAGATTCTGTCTAGATTCTCTTTCCAGTCTAGTTCTACGCTCATGTAAGTGATATTAGTAATAATTGGTGGAGTTGGTTTGCCTTGTATTTGATCATTTTTCAAGTAAGTATAATTCATGTTTTATGTAAAAAAATATCTTAAATAAAATGATAAGAATAAAAAAAACAAATTCCAAATATAGAAATCATTAATACTTAATTAAATTATATCTAAGATAATAAACAAGAGTAATTTATGCCAATAATGAGATTTGCATTACGGAGTTGTGAAGATTGTTAAGTTACACATATTTTTTTTTAAATCATGAATCGATCAATGTTAGACCATCATTAGAAACCTAGAAGCACAGGACGGCTGTTTCGTCCTGGTATGGGACTTCTCAGCAGTGCGCATCCACGACTCCTGCACCCCGCAGGATTCAAACCCTGGACCTTCGGTATTGTAGGCGAACACCTAACCATCGTGGATGCACACTGCTGATGAGTAGTCACATACCAGGACGAAACGGCCGTCTTTCAGTGCTTCCAGGTTTCTAATGGTGGTGGTTTAACATTGATCGATTCATGGTTTCAAAAAATAATGAGATTGATATGAATTAAGTTAGACAATTTTAACTGCTTGATTCCTCGCTACATCCTAGTTTGAATATATATGCGGTGCGCGCTACTTATAAGTAGTATATGACGTGAGTGTCAACGTAATGTCTGGCAGCAGAAGATGGGGGAAGATCAAGAAAGGAAGAGTGGGAACATAATGGAATTTGTATGAAACGCATGAATAGTGAAATGTCAGACAATGGATTGATGTTTTGCAACAAGAACAGTCCAGTTCGATATGATGGACTGATAATTTATCTATCTATCTATCTATCTATCTATCTATATATATATATATATATATATATATATATATATATATATATATATATATATATATATATATATACAACAATCTCTTATCATAGAAATTCTGGGTTGGGTTCATATCAAATCTAGTCAACTAAGACTAAAAAATATACACATTTATTACGTAATTTTAAGACCATCTTTATATTCATCCAAAAGTTGTGTATAGGTAGGGCTACTTGAAAAAATTAATATGTAACCAGTTTATTTCAGCATATCATTGTTGATACTTAAACTTTCAAGATGTTTTTTAAAATATTACATGAATATTAAGATGTGCATTAATGGTCGTGGAACTCATTATTTTTATACAAACTATCAGGTTTTATTTAGTAGTGTTGGTGGGGATAAATTTGTTCCTGTGCATGGATCAATTTTTTAAACATGTAAAAACTCTGAGTTAAAGAAGAAGCATATCCCTCTGATAATCAGATAAGCAGTTTATATGTGTTTTTATGTCAGAAACTAATTGTTAAGAGTAAAGAGTCTATAATATAAATAACAGCAGCATTATGAATTCTTTTAGCTTCTGTTGTTTGTAGAACATAAGATCAATTCTTAGCTTTTCATCTGATAGGGTTTGATTTCGTCTCAGGTTCACAGTAATAGCTATACTATTATTCATTAGCTAATGATCTGAACGCATCTTGTTACGTAATTTTTATAATCTTTAATGACGGTGATGTTGCTGTTGATTTTTACAAGTTTCAACTTATTTCCCATGTTGAAAAGTTACGTTGAGGTGTTATTAATACTCATCATACGATTAGTCTGCAAGTTTTACTTTTTATTGACTACACTTAATTATGTGATCACATTGACTGTCATTATTGACTGGTTATTAAAATATATGCTTATAAGTATCATTCCATAATGAATTCTGATTATTTATGCATAAACGCAAACTTAAATGTATTGTGTTACTTTTAATTAACACTGTGGGAATTGTATTTTGAAATTTTTCAGGTAATACATTTTATTTGCTACAAAGCTACAAGTGTCTGTTAATTCTAAAGGAAAAATTGCATCCATATTGATAGCTAGATGATTTCTAAGATGGAATTCAATAAATAGATATCTGACTGTTAAGAGTACCAAATGGTAAAAGCTATCGAATTTCATCATTGAGTTTGTAGTCAATAATCATTTGGTTCGTAAACATGATGCGAGATACTAAATTACTTAAATATACAACGTTTTATTGCGATATTCGGTATTATATTACAAGAAAAATAATCACGAGTATGTTAAATTGGTGTTTTTAAGTAGACATGGTTTTTATTATTTCCCAATTGTTTCATTAATTAATGAAAGACATTAAACTCGTTGTCAGTTTAATGTCGAATAAATCCTAATACAACAAAGTTAGGAGTATATGAAAATTTCTTCCGGAGGGCGCGAATGGATAATGAAGCAGAATATTTTTAATTCAATTGATCGTAAGTTCATCAATCATTAATTATCGTATATATATATGTGGCTACATACACTTGGGTTTGAAGTAGCCTAAAAAGAACTTTATGTTATAAAAAGCTTTCGATAATTTTATTATTTGTGAATTTCGATTTATCCTAAATCTTGGGTGTGGTTTTTTTGAATAGATAGAGGCCTGATCTTGTAGTAAACAGTGATCAGTAGTGAATAGGAACTTAGTTTAAAGGTATATTATGGTTTCTGATAGTCAGAGCACTAATATCAGGAAAATGTTTAACATTCTTTACTAATTAGACTTAAAACTTTATACAAATCTAGGATTAGCCTGAATTTTATTTATTCTAGTTCGATTGTTGGCAGAATTTGACATCTGCCTTTAATGCTTCATAAAAAATGCTGCTTTATTACAGTTAAAACTGGCTTTGCTTCGTAGTGCTAACTGATGCTGTTTCATTAAAAACAACGAACCCAACAGAAACAGAAGCCTACAAGTTCGTGTAACGGATGAAAGTGAAGTATGTTCCTTGATGTTTTTTTTAATTATTATATTATTAATAATATTCTGCGGATTGGTTCTTATTTCCTTGAAATGGTAAATGTTTTTGCAATGTAAAGTAACCAATCACATTTGTATCAATTGTTCTTTTCCATTCTGTCCCTTGTTATACTAACAGATTTGAATAAAGAAATAAGAAGACATATTTTGTGAGATAGTACCATTTCGTGCTTTCTCGTCAGTCACATACAAGCAACATGTTATTTGTGTAAATACAGCAGTTTTGAAGATAAGGTCAAAATTTCTTATTTAGCATGATATTCACTCACTAGAACCATGGTAAACAAAGGTCAACATACAGTTGTTTTTGAACACATAAAGTTGCACTTTTCCGACCAATCAAGATAGCTTCGAGTAGTTTCAGTGTGTGTGGGTTTTGATCACATGTCACAATTCTAAAGGCTGATTTTGGGTCAATTTGATGACCACTCATCATTAGATGTTTTGCAATGGATGAGGCTGGGTTTCTTGATCGATTTTGAGATGATGGGCTAGGCTGGTGAATCATGGAATTGATAAGCCATTTCGGAATATGTTCCCCTATCCTGTCTTCGAATCGGCGATCTGTCCTCCCTAAGTAACTTTCTCCGCAGTTACATGTGAATTGGTAAATAAAGTGGGATTTGGACTGAATCGGTCTTGGAGACTTGATTGGGGTAACTGAGATCGATTGGGTTGTTGTGATAAGCCTCAGATTAGCTGCATTGAAGGTCTTTTTTATTGCAACCGCAGTCTGTTCGATTGTAATTTTCATGCAATGATCACCTTTGAAAGGTAACTGTAGGTACACTGGTTTCTTGGGCACATCAGTTGCTATCAGCTTCGTTGCAGTTGTGTTCTGATGACCAATAAACGTTTCGGGATATCCGTTTGATTTAAGTGTGTCAGTAATAAGCTTGAATTCGTCGTTCAATGTATCAGCAGTGCAGATTCTACTTGCTCGAGCGAATAAAGTTTTGACAACAGAGCGTTTATATTTTATGGGGCAGAAACTAGTGAAGTGGAGGTACTGTCCCGACCAGGTGGGTTTGCGGTGTACTTTTCGTCTGATTGATCCGTCTGGACGGTGATGGAGAAGGGAATCGAGGAAGGCTAGTTCATTATTCTTTTCTTCCTCATAAGTGACTTTGAAGATTCGGGTGAATCGTATCAAATAAATCATTGATTTCATTAATACCTATAGAATGTGGTAATATGACAAGAATATCGTCGACATATCGTTTGTAAAGTGTAATACCATCGATGAAGTGACTCACTTGCCTTTCTATCATTCCCATGAATATGTTTGCTAAAACAGGTCCGAGAGGGCTTCCCATAGCCACTCCATCGATTTGTGTATATGCTTTACCTTGGAAATAGAATTTTATATTCTTTGTGCAGAGCAAAATTAGATCTCGAAGGTAGGTAGTCGGAATGGGTATTCTTATGTTGTGTGAAGTTATGAAGTCACAAATAAATTCCACAGTTTCTTCGAGAGGTACATTTGTGAATAAAGAGTTTACATCGAAAGAACACATCCGACTATTAGAAATATTCAAGTGTTCCAAGGTTGGGAGAAGTTCAAAGGAATCGAGGATAGTATGTGTCGACAGTTGTTTACAAACATGATCCAAAATTTCTTTCAGCCACTTTGCTAGCTTATGGTATGGTGAATTTATCATGGACAGAATCGGTCTCATAGGTGTTGTAGGCTTGTGTAGTTTCGGTGAGCCATACATTTGTGGTGTGCATGTACCAATGGGCTTGAGCATTTTATAATGGGCCTCGGTGATAAAACCACAAAAGCATGAGTAGATGTAGTTCTCGGCATATCTGTTTTTCGACCAACTTCACGTTATCGATCTGTGAATCTGATTTAAATTTAGCAGAGTCTGAGAGGATCACGTTCATTTTCGTTATGTAGTCATCCTTATTCATGACTACTACACCGGAACCTTTGTCTGGTTTGGAGATTGTTATTGTGGAATTGTTCTTAAGTTCCTTCAATGCTTCCTCGTGCTCATTAGTTAGACAAGAATTTTGGTTGATAGGAGTGTTTGCAAATTGCTGGGATATATCAACTAATTTGACTTTCAGTCATGCCTCATTCTCAGCTGATGTTGGAGTCAAATTTGAGAACTGGCTGTAGAGGTTTTCGAAATTGGCGTCCACCAAATTCTTATCGATTCTTTTAGGTGGTATATTGTAATTTAGTCCCTTTGAAAGAGCTTCTAGGTGAACCT